TACTCCTATGACAGGCTTGTCTGCAGGTCTTTCAACTAGCTCCCAAGTTCCATTTTTCTCAATAGTTTCAATCTCTGCATTCATGGCTTCCTTCCATGCATTGTCTTCAATAGCTTCATGATAGGTTTCAGGCTCAATAATGGTCATATGACATCTTGCATAAATGTCCTCCAAGCTTCTCAGCTTTACTGGTGTATTGCTTGGTGTTGAGCCTTGACTTGTACTGGCAATGTTGCTTCCAGGGACATGTTCATCATCTGAGATTAATTGAGTAGGATTTGGAGAGTCAATGCTGTGAGTTTCATGAGAAGGTTCTTCTGTTTCTGTTATCTCAGTGTCTTCTTTTCCAATGGTGAGAGGCATGTAAACTGTTTCATCCTGCTTGCTTTCCCAATTCCAGGATTTGTTCTCATCAAATACAACACTTCTTGAAAGTATAATCTTCTCAGTTTGAAGATTATAGATCCTGTAGCCTTTCTCACAACTGCCATAACCCATAAAGACTCCTTTGCTAGCCTTATCATCAAATTTCTGTCTAAGATTTGATGGAATGTGACTGTAACAAATGCTTCCAAACACTCTCAGATGTTTTACACCTGGTTTTCTTCCTGTGTAAGCTTCAAATGGTGTTTTGTCTGTGACTGTAGTGGTATAACACCTATTTTGCAAATACACAGCAGTGCCAACTGCTTCAGCCCAGAACTTAACAGGAATTTTCTTCTCAGACATCATTGATCTTGCCATTTCTCCAATGGTTCTATTCCTTCTCTCAGCAACCCCATTTTGCTGAGGTGAGTAGGGTGTAGTCAATTGTCTCTCCATGCCATGATCACTGCAGTAGTCAAGAAATTCATGTGAGGTGTATTCACCACCTCTGTCACTTCTTAGTTTCTTCAATTTGAAACCACTTTGAAGTTCAACAAAAACTTTGAATTTTTTGAACACATTTATCACATCTGACTTGTTTCTGAGGAAATATACCCAACACATTCTTGAATGGTCATCAATGAATGTGATGAAATATTTGTTCCCTCCAATAGACTCATTTTGCATTGGACCACATACATCCGTATGTACCAACTCAAGTGGATAGTTTGCCCTCCAAGATTTCTCATTTTCAAATGGTTCTCTGTGACTTTTGCCATACACACAGCTTTCACACACTCCTTCATTCTCTGAGAAATCAGGCAAGCCTAACACAATTTGTTTTTGTTGCATTTTCTTTAGGCTGGCAAAGTTCAAATGCCCCAATCTTCTATGCCAAACCCATGAATCTTCTTGTACTGCAGCTCTTCTTGCTACTGTGTTGACAGATTCCAAAGACAATGGAAAACATCTATTTCCAGTCATTACAACTTTAGCAACAACATTATCAAGCTTGCTATCATCAAAGATCACTGCCATATTGCCTCCAAACAGGACATAATAGCCATGCTCCATCATCTGGCCTACGCTCAGTAAGTTTTCATCCAAGCCTGGAACCAACAACACTTCATTTATATATCTTTTCCCATTTTGAGTTTCAACAACTATAGTGCCTTTCGCAGTAGCTTGTACAAGGTCACCTGTGCCCATTTTCACTTTGCATGTTACAGATCTGTCTATGTTTATTAAAACAGACTCTTGAGAGGTCATATGGTTGCTGCAAGCACTGTCAACAAACCACACAGACTTGCTTGCTGCAATTGAGCTTGCATGACATGCATAGAACATTGTTCCTGTGACTGCATCTTCTTCCTTTGCACAGTTTGCAACTTGTTTACCACTGTCACAATCTTTAGTTAAGTGCCCAAATCGATTGCACCTTCCACACTTGGCTTTTCCTTTGTATCTGCACACACCAAAATGGTATTTCTCACAGACTTGACACTGAGGTTTCACACCACTTTGACTATTACTCCCTTGCCTGTTCTGTGGATTGAACTTATTGTTCCAAGTTCCTCCAGAGTTGTTGTTCCAGTTCGAACCATTTGTATTGTTCCAGTTCCCATTCTGAGACCAGTTCTTCCCCTTTTTATATTGACTCCATTTTGAATTTGCCTTATACTGAGACCCTTTGAAATTTCCAGTGCTACTTCCATTTCCTCCAACTTTGAGACTACTGAAGGCCCTCTCAGTACCAGTGTATTTATCTCTTTCATCGTGCAAGTCTTCTCTTTTATCATAGACTTTCACTGAAGCTAAAACTTCTTCCACTCTAATAATGTCTAGATCTCTGGTTTCTTCAATAATTGACACTATGGACTTGTATCTCCTATTTAGACTCATCAACAGCTTTTGAACAATCCTTTTTTCTGTTACATCTTCTCCTAGAGATTTCAAGTTGTTTACTATCTCAAAAAACCGAGCCAAATAGTCATCCAGAGATTCAACATCATTCATCCTTAAATATTCAAAATCAGCTCTAATGGCTTGTAATTTCACAGCTCTTACCTTTTTATCTCCTCTGAACTCTCTTCTTAGGATTTCCCAGGCACCCTTTGCAGTTTTCTCATTTCGGATTCTGGGAAAAAGTTCATCAGTGATTGCTCCTTGAATAAGGCTTAGAGCCTTGGCATTCTTGATCTTTTCCTCCTTTGAAACAACTGGTCTTTCAACTGGAATATGCTCTGACTCGCTTTCTTCTTCTTCCTCAGAGGTTTCCTCTCTGGTTGTTTGTTGTCCAGCAAGACCAACTTCAACCACATCCCATAGATCGTATGCTATGAGAATGGTTTCCATTTTTACGGACCAAAAATCGTAGTTTGATCCATTAAATTGTGGTGTTCGTAAATCACCACCAGAGGAGCTTGATCCGGCCATCTTCTCAGGTAGCACTGCACAAATGGTTATAAAGGTACCACCTTTAACCCTTTCTGGATTTGTATCTTCACAGAATCACGTCCCTTCTTCGAAATCAGACCAAGAGCTCTGATACCATGTTTGAAATGGTACCAGGCATGTTGCTATTTAGTTGATAAAGATTCAAACTTTGAATAAATCGTTTGAAGGAAATTTTTTATGTTTGTTTTGCTAGAGAGAAAACTTGAAGAGCCAAAAGTCTTTCTGTATATTTTCTTAATCTCAAAAGACCAATTACAAAGACTATATCATTGTCCTCAGCCGGTCTAAAACCAGATCCTACTTCTAGGGACCTAGTACTTCTCTCCGACCATAAATGGTTCTGGAAGGATATCATCCATCCACTTGGAAGGAAATGAGAAAACTCAGTACAATTAAAACAAAAACAACCAGCTGTAAGCTTTCTAAAACTAGAAAAACAAACTAGCCGTTGAATTCAAAAAGCTCCTTCCAATTTTAGTAAGGTCTTCATTTCTTCACACCTTTCGGCTTCCTTTTTACTTCATCTGCAGGATTACCTTCTGCAGGATTACTCAGAAGCTAGAAGACAGCTTAAATCTCAACATCTTGGTCAAAGCACGCTGTAAATCGCCGCCATGGAAGCCGCTAGTACTCCGCCGGAAAGTGTGAAGTTTCATGAACCTGCCGATGCCGATGAAAACATTGGGGATGGTAAGTCTTAACTTGATTCCACGCTATATATGTAGATTAGTAGAAGTTATGAGTTACCATCGTACACCATGCATTGGCCGTTCACTTATTTCTTTGTAAGAAATTAGTTTTCTCTCATATATCATGTGCATGGGCATTGCGTTGCTGGGCGAGTTGGGTGGCGAGTTCGGCGATCCAGCGATCTTGGCAATGGGACGTCAGCGACCGGGGAGAACTAGGCGATGGGGAGTTCGACGACGAACTTGGCGATGGAATCTCGTCCAAAACGGGGCCGGTTATTTGTGGGACGACAAACTTGGCAACGGAATCTCGTCCATAACGGGGCCGGTTATATCTGGGACGACAAACTTGGCGATGAAAGCTCGCGGGAAAAGGGCCGGTGAACTCTAAGACGGCGAGCTTGACAACGAACTTAGCGATGGTTGAACTCGGCGATGGCGAGTTCGACAAGCATGGGGATGGGTTGTCGTGAACTCCGCCACGCACGGCGAGTTTGGTGATGGGAAGTCGAAGGGTGAACTCAGTGACGGTGAGCTTCTCAAATTTGGCGAGTTTTTTTGGACCATTGCGTTGAAAAAAAGACATCTGCGATCGAATTGAAAGGACTTGCCGGCCAATAGGAAACCAGTGCGTTTAAAGATGATCGTAGGTCACTGGTGATGCCATTTTCGTATTATTAATAATTATTATATTTTTTACCAAAAAAATAATTATTTTTATTTATTTATATATTTTTGATTGCCACGGTGCGGTGACGGAGTTTGAGAAATTCTTGGGCACGGTGGACTACCACGTAGCTGACCCGTGCAGGACAGCCCTGTATTCGGGTATAGGATCCGAATGCAGAAAAGTCTTCCGTGTCTGTTGCGTATCATATTTGGAAATTATCTATTCAAGAATGGGACGAATAAACCTAAGCCACAATTTGATCAAGAAAAAAAAAAAAAAAAATATATATATATATATATATATAATAACGATTATTTAAAATTAGTTCTGGTTTGGTGTCTCACTACTACAATATAGGCTATCACCGGCGGACCAAAAACCGACAAGAAACCCGATTTCTGTCGGAAATTTGGCAAAAATCCGACATAAAACACTGCAATGTCGGATTGGAATAGCGACGCCATTGCTACCGTCACTAAAGGGCTTCAGCGTCGCTTTGTTCGCTTAATCCGCCACTACGCAGCGTCGGTTTAAAGCGACGCTGATGTTAACGTCGGTTTAAAGCGACGCTAGTCAACAATTAACTAAATAAAATATGCAAACTAGTGACGGTTTAAAGCGACGTTAGAGAACAATTAAATAAATAAAATATGCAAACTAGTGACGATTTAAAGCGACACCACATTTGATAATAATAATTAAAAAAAAAGTCGAAATCTGTTTCTGGATTCGTTCTCAAATAATTATAACTCAAAAAAATTATATAATCGAAATAATAAATTTCAATTTTAGGCCAAAACAAACAATAATAAAAATAATTCAAAAGAAAAATAGTGCCATAATATACAAATGTTTTACATCTAACATTCCATATAATTTACAAAAATTCATCCTCCATGCTTTCCTGTGCTTGCCTTTGTCGAAGACCACATATTTTGTAGCTCCATAGTGCCATATATAATACTAGCAACTCCATGCTGCCATGCTTGCCATCAGATCAGTGCTCCAATACTTTACTACTTCAACATTAAGGCTCTAATCTCTATAGATTAAACTCAGGTTTTATACCTTTAAAAAATTATGGATCTGCGATTTCCAGTGTCCTTGCTCTTCAGATCCAACATGCATAAATACAAAAAAAACAATTAAAAACCAAGAAACAAAAATAAATTTTCAATTTAAGCATAAAACTATTTAGAATACAAAATAGAAACTAAAATTAATAATCATAATAATTTAAAAATGAACCACCTTCAAGCTCTTCCTCCTCGAATTGGAGTTCTTCAGAATGTTGATCTTCAAACTGGTGATCCAAAGCAAACGGGGAAGGAGTTGAGGAAAAAATGAAAAGGAGGAAGAAGGGGACGCACAGATGAAATGGGGAAGGAGAAGAAGAAAGTCTGAAATTGGGGGAGAAATGAAAGCACGGTTGAAATGGGAAAAAGAGGGGTTTAAATATGGGTACTTAGTTTGCGTCTGTTAAAACCGACGCAAACGTTTGACACTTTTTTTGAAATTCACATAGCGTCGCTTTAATGAAACTCGCGTCGCTTTAATGAAACTAGTGTCGCTTTAAACCGACACAAACTTCTGACACTTTTTGAAATTCACATAGCGTCGCTTTAATGAAACTAGCGTCGCTTTAATGAAACTAGCGTCGCTTTTAACCAACGCTAACTTCTGACACACTTTTTGAAATTCACATAGCGTCGCTTTAATGACACTAGCGTCGGTTAAAACCGACACTAAGTCTCTCCATCCATTCAAACAAGCGGGAAATTTCCCGCCTAATATTTCAAATACTATAATTTTATATATATTAATTTTATAACCCTAAAAAATACTATAATAATTATATATATTAATGTAACAATTTTATACCCCTAAAAACTATAATAATTATATATATATATATATATTAAATTAAATTTTAAAAATTGGTGACCGTTGGATCAGTTTCAATATACATACCATTCAATTTCTTTAAGTGTTATACATACAAAATAAATAAATTTAAATCTACTTAATAAATATATATATATATATACACACACCATTGAACTTGATGGGATACAAATTCTATGGAACTTTTCGATGGTTATAAAACGAAAAACTAATTTAAATCAATATGTCGCTTAAAAGCGACACTGGGTTTCAAAATATTTAAAAAAACTAATTTAAATTGAAGATCGAATTCATTCATTCTATTCATATAGGGTCAAGGAATGTAGCTGTAAAAAATCATCAAAATCGGAGTTAAAATAACCTTTAAATCGTGATTTTTCGTTTATAACCGTCGAAAAGCTTTGTCCCGTTACTTGATCTCTGAATGTTTGTTTTTTGTGATTTTTTGCTGATGTGATCTTGAAGCATATGCAAACAAGTTTGACGGTTGGGATCGTTGAAATTAGTTTCGGAGAATTCGTATCCCATCAAAACAATAGATTGACTAATACTTAGAGTTTATTTATACTTTCATTAAGTATAACATAAGATTTTGTGGTATCTACTTGTGTAAATATTTTAATTTGAAGATCGAATTCATTCATTGTATTCATATAGGGTCAAGGAGTGTAGCTGTAAAAAATCATCAAAATCGGAGTTAAAATAACCGTTAAATCGTGATTTTTCGTTTATAACTGTCGAAAAGCTTTGTCCCGTTACTTGATCTCTGAATGTTTGTTTTTTGTGATTTTTTGCTGACGTGATCTCGAAGCATATGCAAACAAGTTTGACGGTTGGGATCGTTGAAATTAGTTTCGGAGAATTCGTATCCCATCAAAACAATAGATTGACTAACACTTAGAGTTTATTTATACTTTCATTAAGTATAACATAAGATTTTGTGGTATCCACTTGTGTAAATATTTTAAATTGAAGATCGAATTCATTCATTCTATTCATATAGGGTCAAGGAATGTAGCTGTAAAAAATCATCAAAATCCGAGTTAAAATAACCGTTAAATCGTGATTTTTCGTTATAACCGTCGAAAAGCTTTGTCCCGTTACTTGATCTCTGAATGTTTGTTTTTTGTGATTTTTTGCTGATGTGATCTTGAAGCATATGCAAACAAGTTTGACGGTTGGGATCGTTGAAATTAGTTTCGGAGAATTCGTATCCCATCAAAACAATAGATTGACTAATACTTAGAGTTTATTTATACTTTCATTAAGTATAACATAAGATTTTGTGGTATCTACTTGTGTAAATATTTTAATTTGAATATCGAATTCATTCATTGTATTCATATAGGGTCAAGGAGTTTAGCTGTAAAAAATCATCAAAATCGGAGTTAAAATAACCGTTAAATCGTGATTTTTCGTTTATAACCGTCGAAAAGCTTTGTCTCGTTACTTGATCTCTGAATGTTTGTTTTTTGTGATTTTTTGCTGACGTGATCTCGAAGCATATGCAAACAAGTTTGACGGTTGGGATCGTTGAAATTAGTTTCGGAGAATTCGTATCCCATCAAAACAATAGATTGACTAACACTTAGAGTTTATTTATACTTTCATTAAGTATAACATAAGATTTTGTGGTATCCACTTGTGTAAATATTTTAAATTGAAGATCGAATTCATTCATTCTATTCATATAGGGTCAAGGAATGTAGCTGTAAAAAATCATCAAAATCCGAGTTAAAATAACCGTTAAATCGTGATTTTTTGTTTATAACCGTCGAAAACCTTTGTCCCGTTACTTGATCTCTGAATGTTTGTTTTTTGTGATTTTTTGCTGATGTGATCTCAAAGCATATGCAAACAAGTTTGACGGTTGGGATCGTTGAAATTAGTTTCCGAGAATTTGTATCCCATCAAAACAATAGATTGACTAACACTTAGAGTTTATTTATACTTTCATTAAGTATAACATAAGATTTTGTGGTATCCACTTGTGTAAATATTTTAATTTGAAGATCGAATTCATTCATTGTATTCATATAGGGTCAGGAGTGTAGCTGTAAAAAATCATCAAAATCGGAGTTAAAATAATCGTTAAATCGTGATTTTTCGTTTATAACTGTCGAAATTAGTTTCATAGAATTCGTATCCAATCAAGTTCAATGGTGTGTGTGTGTGTATATATATATTAAGTAGATTTAAATTTATTTATTTTGTATGTATAACACTTAAGAAATTGAATCGTATGTATATTTAAGCCAATCCAATGATCACCAATTTTTTAAAATTTAATTTAATATATATATATATATATATATATAATTATTATAGTTTTTAGGGATATAAAATTTAATTTAATATATATATAATTTAATATATATATATATATATATATATATATACACACTTTATGTCGCTTAAAAGCGACACTAGTATTTAAAAATTATTAAAATAATGTTTACGTCGGTTTAAAAGCGACACTAGTATTTAAAAATTATTAAAATATATGTTTACGTCGGTTTAAAAGCGACATAAACATTTAATAACGCTTATAAGCGACAGTAAATCCGACGTCATGTTCAGTTAGTGTCGCAACTGCCTAATCCGCTACTATATTAGATTAAAGCGACACCACCCTCCGACACTATAGCCCCTTTTGTAGTAGTGTCTGATCAGACGTTGACCTCACTGTTTGTGTTGAGGGATAGATTGGAATCCATGGCTTATGTTGTTTCTTTCTGATCCTAATGCTCCTCACATGTCTTGGCTAACGCATTTCAGTAGTATGTTATCATGCGCCGAGGTCGACCGCGAGCGGTGGTGCGCTTGGTGGTGGCTGCTGCTGCTCTACACAGATTGTTGATGGTGACGGAAGTTTCAATGAAGCTGGAGTTGCAAGTTTTGTCAAGTCAAGTAATTTTGCCCAGCAAGGAACTTCTTATACTGCTGTCGCCATTATCGGTCCTCAAATTAGTGGTATGGATTCTGTATTTGTCTTCTTAGATTATCAAATTGTAATTACACTCCAGGTGAATGTTTTTGAATTATCTGCTACACGTTTTGAAGCTTAATTAGATGGCATGGTTTTGGAATCAGGTGAATGTTTTTGAATTATCTGCTACACTCAAAAGGGTTTACAAATTACTACGGCCTGTCTATAGAATTGTTTTGGAATGGAATGAATGACTTTTTAATTTGAGGGGATTGGATATATATCAAGGAAAAAGTTATCCCTTCTATCCTCCCATCTTGAGGGTTTGGAATGGATGAATTTCCATTTAATAACTATTTTGTTGTTTATTTTTTTATTTTTGTTTTCAATTTTTCTGAAAACTAAAAACAAAAATTTGTTTTCTATTTCCAGTTTTCAAGAAGATGAAGACCGAAGTGAAAGCTACTCTTTTGAAGTTTTCAAAATTGTTTTTCGGTTTTCATTTTTTATTTTTTTAAATTGAGAATTAAAAGTATTAGCCAAACAAAAATGTTCGTTTGTTTGCTTTTTAGAAGAAGAAGAAGAAAAAAAAAAAAAAAAAAAACTAAATCTGAAACTACTTAGTTACAAAACAAGTTTTTTGTTTATAAAAAAATTAAACCTAAAAACTGAAACAGCAAATTAGATTCAAACGCTTAAATTATACATTTTATTGATTTAGATATTATATTAACTACGATGGGATTCGAACATATGCCGTCATACAAAAACTTAACTTATTTTCACCACGTACTGTGGTAAATAACCACTTACTAATGTGCTTTCACCTTTATCCATGTCATTTTTTTATTGTCCAAACTCAACGTTTTATATAAGATTCTAAAGAAAAATATAAATGCTCTCTATTATTATTATAAAAACTGGGACATAGAGTCCCTAATTCAATTGCAATTTGCATATTAACGTACCGCAATTAGTATTTTATAATGTACCAAATACTAATACGTCGCCAAATTAGAATACATAACGTCCCAATAATGTACCAAATTATTGGTACATTATATATATATATATATATGCATGCATATACATATCTAATAATTATATGTTAGTAGTATGTTTGCTGTCTTTTAGAATTTTAAATGAATTTTATTTGAGAAATAAAAAGCTTCTTTTGAAAAATTGAAATGAATTATTATAAGATAAGACATATCTACTAGATTTTAAGAGTTTTGTAATATTAGTTTGTGATTAATTGGTAAACTAAAATAAAAAATTGTAATTTTTTATTAAAATTAGTAGAAGAATGATTCATAAAAAATCTAAAAACTATAAATGTTTAATTTAAAAAATTCATAAGTGAGACACCTATGTCAAAACGCTTGAAAACTAAAATGGTTATTAAACACGTCCTTAATTAGGGGTGCATTTTTGCTCATCACCCTCAAGTAGCTCAAGTAGTGGTAATGCTCACCACCCTATTTATTATCATTTTATGGGATTAAATGCTCATCCAACGGTGATCAATAGAGTTGTGAGTATTACCATTGAGGGTGGTGAGAAAAAATGTTCCCCGTCAATTAGTAATTCTACCTGAATTGGTCACAATTTTTTCATTCTTTTCTTCAACATAACTCGCATATAGTGAGTTCTTCCTTAGTTCATAAGAGGTCATAGGTATAGAAAGGCATGGATATAAATATCAGATAAATTCCTATGGAATATTTTTTCTTTTGTCATCTGCTATTGATATATAATTCAGCTCTCTACTTTACCATTGTAAGGATTTCATGCTTGTATTTTCCTCGTCCTGCAAAGTTTGATTTTATTTTTTTCCAACAGAGAGATTTTGCATCTGTAAACTTTTCCCTCCCTTGTTACAATAGTGAGATGGCATATGATATCTGAATGTTTACATCTCTGATTATGTTTGTTCGTTTTCTTTTAATATTATGATCTGGCCAGGAAAGAGCACACTGCTAAACCATTTATTCGACACCAATTTCAAAGAGATGGACCATCGTATAGGAAGGCGAGTTTCAGTACAAGAAAACTTTGACAATGATCACTAACATTAATTAGTTGTACATATCGTGAGGTGGTAAAGTTATTTATTTTTATTTTTATTTTTTTTTCTTACCAGGTTTCAAACAACAAAGGTATTTGGATTGCAAAATGTCTCAGCAATGGGCGTTTCACTCTTGTAATCGACATAGAGGGTACAGATGGGAGAGAACGGGGAGAGGTAACTTCGAGACCCTGTTTAAGGGTGTTTGGGTGAGGGATTTTATTTCCAAGGCATTTAGGCAAAGATCACAAAAAGTTGAATAAGAGGAATAAGAAAATGCGCAATATGAGCATTGCAAATTTATGTATGAGAAATTTGTAAATGACTCCTTCTAAGTAGTCATTTGCAAATCCTTTTCACATATCTTTTGTAATGCTTATATGGTGCATTTTCTTATGACTTTTGTGATCTATTTATTCATCGTTAATCACTATACCTAAATCCTAAATCCCTTGGAGTTTGCATACCCTTGGTTTTCATCCAACTTCGATTTTATGATCATGCTTGAATTTATTGTCATGATTTCATTGCTGTAAATTTCTAAATATATATCGAGAGGTCTGTTTGATTATCATTTCAGTTTTCAGTTCGCCAAAAATTGAAAATGTCAAATAAGTAGCTTTTAGTGTTTGCTTTTTAGTTTTCAAAAAGTGAAAACGAAATGGTGATCACATGACGCCAAAAATAATGAAATCCTAGGTGTTTTTATATCCCCTTTGCTGTTATTATCCAAATTTTATGATACTATACTTTAATTGTATAGCTTATCATGCAAATTTTCCCGTTCCCAAGTTTTTTATTTATTTATTTATTTTTATTTTTTTAAAGCGCTTAATTGAACTATATATGTGCTTGGCATTAAGTTATTTAGTTTAGGACTACTTTACATGGCTGCCATTTGCTCAATTGGCATTTTGTTATTCAGTTTAGGCTACAGAATTGTGAAACCTGTTCTCAGTGTTAAGCAGGCGTGGAGAATGAAGTAGTATGTAATTGCTTGCCGTTTATTATTTGGTCTTGTATTTACAGGATGATACAGCATTCGAGAGGCAGAGTGCCCTTTTCGCTCTTGTTGTTTCAGATGTAGTGCTCATAAACATGTGAGATTCCCCCCTCCTCCTCTTTACCAACTCTTTGGAATTTGCTTTTCTTCAGTCCTTGTGATCAATCTTCTCAAGCAATTTTCGTTTAGGTGGTACCATGATATTGGCCGTGAGAAAGCTGCAAATAAGCCTCTCATAAGAACCGTGTTTGAGGTATTTTCTACCTAGTAATTACCTACTGCAATTGATCAACACTATGAGTTTCAGCACCTAACTTTGTGCTTCAATTTGCTAATATATAGGTGATGATGCGATTGTTTAGTCCACGCAAGACAACTCTGATGTTTGTCATTCGTGACAAGACAAAGGTAATTGGTTCTACTCTTTTGGTATTTGTTACTCATTTTTTGAGAGTCTGTCACATCGTTCCCTTTCTTGGTATAAGGCCATTCCACTCTAGGTTGAGCTTTTGATAGTATAGTTACCCTTCTTTGTTTGTAGACACCAGTGGATTATTTAGAACGTGTTCTTAAAGACGACATTCAGAAGGTAAGTGATTAATTTGTGTGTGCTTTATTTGACATTGCCTTAGTTTAATTATTGGTATTTTCAGCCCCTCTCTCCTTTAATGCAGATGTGGGACTCTCTTCCTGAGCCTAAAGCCCACAAGATGACTCCACTAAGTGAATGTTTTAATGTAAGATCTCATGCTTATATATTTACAGATAAGAGTTTAATGGTGCTTTTGTTGTCAAAACTATCAATCAATTGCAATGAAAATGTGTCATGTGTGATTGAATAGGTTGAGGTTGTTGCGCTTCCAAGTTATGAAGAAAAAGAAGTCGAATTTAAAAAGGAGGTACGCGCATGTGGTTTTTGTGCATTTATGAACACCATGTAAAAGAACATGCATATAGGGTTAGCACAATCTCTGGGAAGGACTATAAGAGGATCTTCCGTAGAAGGAAAAGAGAAAATAACCATGCAAGAGTGTCAGGGTTTCTCTCAATTGTTTGCATATGTATTTTCAAACACAGTTTGGGGAGTACCTTACAAATTATTTTCTCATATTGTTCATGCCCATCTCCTCTTTGTTCTTCTTTTCCATTCCAGTTTTTTTTCCTGCCTAAAGAAATCGATTGTCCCATTTTGGTTTTTATTTCTAAATTTCCTGTATATGTTTGTCAATTAAGGTTGCTTGCTTGAGGCAGAGATTCTCTCCTAATGAACTTGGGGGACTAGTTGGAGATCAACCGGCAGTTGTTCCTGCTTCTGGATTTTCTCTCAGTTCACAGAAGATATGGGAAAAGATCAAACAAAACAAAGATCTTGATCTTCCTGCCCACAAGGTAGAACTGTGAATATGATGCATGAATGTAATTTAAAAATAAGCCAGCTAGCAACATCCATAACTCTTCCTTTGCAGGTCATGGTGGCAGCTGTACGTTGTGGAGAGATTGCCGATGAGAATTATGTTGCTTTTGCACAAAATAAGGTACCTGCTTTTCATATATTTTCCACATTCTCCATGTTTTTCAAATGTAGTGGGATGGCCTTGAATTGCTTTAGCATTATCACAGGAGTGGAGTAAGTTGAAAGAGGCTGTTCAATCTGCTCCTTATCGTGGCTTTGGGGATGTGCTCAGTTCACTCCTTGATACCTACATCTCAAAGTATGCACCTTTCATTTAGGTTATCTGGTTTTAGGCTGCAGGATATAATTTTGACTTCTTACCTTTCATAATATTTCCACCATATTCAGTACCGCCAAAACTAATGATTATCAAACGGCCTCTTAAGATATTTGCTGTCTCTCCAAGTTTTATTTTGTTTTGCTGGATGCCTGTCTATATTTATTTTTATTTTTATTTTATAATTCTAGGTATGATGGAGAGACTACATATTATGATGAAGGTGTCAGATCTGGGAAGCGCAAGCTGCTTGAAGAAAAATTGCTGCATGTAATTAATCTCGATACCATTCTTGTGCGAACTGTGTGTTCCCCCTTCCCCTCTTCCTTGTGATATACATGGCTATTATATAACAATGCAGCCAAAATGTGTTTGTTACTCCTCTGATTGTGGTTGATAAAATTTCTGTTATTACTCATCCCTGAATCTTCCATGCATGTCAGTTGATCGGGCATTCCCAGTGCATCAAAGTAGCTGAACTGTTTTTACTTAAAATTATCGATCTTTTTTTCTCTGGAAAGAAAGAGTTTCCAGTTCTAATCATCCATTCAATCAGACATTTTTCTTCTCATGTTGATTGTTTTCACTGTTCTGTTAGCTTGTTCAACCTGCATTCCATAATTTGGTGGAGAATATAAGCTCTTCTACACTGGATAAATTCAAGGAAGCATTTAATACGGCCTTGGACCGGCAGGAGGGATTTTCTGTTGCTGTTTGTAGGTGTACCGAGTCTTTTATGGCTCAATTTCAAGAAGACTGCGCAGGTATGTTTTGAGAGTACCATTCCTTCTGCAGTCGGACACATCTTAAGCACAGCTGCTGATCAGTCAATTATAGGCGAAGACATAATTAATAGACCTTTTCAACTGGTTTGATTTGTGTATAACTTGTTTTCTAAAGGACTCTGAGAATTTGACACATTATTTATGCAGATGCTGCTATCAAACAAGCAAATTGGGACACCTCTACAGTTACGGATGAACTTGAACGTGCCATGAAAGCCCATGTTGCTTCAGTTTATGCTCTCAAGATATCCGAACTTGCTGCACATTGTAAGGTATAATAGTATTTTTTTTTTTTTTTTTCTTTCTTTTGGCTCTTCTGAAATAGTTGGAGTGACTGGTATTCGTAAACCTCCAAACCAGAAGTCGGCTCCAAGAAGAAAGTAAAAGGGGTAGGATGAAGAAAAAATCGAGCCACTGTCACAAGTTAATTTCTTTAAGCAGTCTGATTGATTATATTGTGACACATTCCAAGTAGTTTGTGGATCTTTTCTAAAATGGTAGTCAATCTCTACATGTTTATCCATGGTGACTAAATTGTCCCGGGAACCTGGTTGATGATGTAACAAAAATGCAGGGGAAGTTGGAGCAGTCAGTTGTCAGGACCGGTGAAAGCCCTTCTAGAAAAACCTAACAATGAGACATGGCCCACGTTAAGAAAAATTGTCTCACAAGAAATTGAATCAGTTCTTTCTGGGAGCTGTACTGCATTTCCTGGTTTTGATATGGATGATCAAACCAAAGGCGAAATACATGCAAGTCTAGAGGAACATGCAAGACGTGTGGTTGAAGCTAAAGCAAGAGAAGAGGCTGGAAGGGTTCTGATCCATATGATGGACAGGTAAGAAATTCTTACACTTGTTTGATCATGCTATAAAATTGCTTCAGATTTTACCGTATGCGATTGAGATTTAAATTGCCTAAAGATTTGCAGCTTATTTAACGGTGACTCTGAATCTCTGATGATTTAAATTGCCTCCAGTTTTTCAAGACATTTTAGCCACGATTCTGATTCCATTCTACGTGTTTGGAACGGTGGGGAAGATGTCAGAGCAATCACCAAAACTTCTCGTTCTGCAGTACGGCACGATTTATATTATAACATCTATTGAAACTTGAGTTTGAATTTGACTTGAAGCTTTGTTAACCTTGTATGCTGCTAATTTTTTCAGGCCTTAGAAGTGCTTTCTGTTTTGGCTGTGAGCCGTCTGGATGGTGACGATGATGGTAAAAATGTTCTGAATACTTTATCCAGTGCCTTGCTTGGTTCCACAAATGTTCCTGCCAGAGATGGGAATTTCAGAACATTCGACCCATTGGCCTCAAATACTTGGGAAGAGGTGAACTTTCTTTTGTGCCCGTTGTTGCTCATGAATTTTTAAAACCCGTCACTTTCGGGTTCTCTAGTCAGAAATTAGGCTATGCATTTTAGTTTCTTCCGAAACTTGGATGATAGTCGGATGTTTTCATTCTTGTGGGAGATGTGGGCTGCAAAGTGCCTCCCTCTCTCCCTCCACCCATCGCTTCCCCTAATTTTCTCTGCCTCTCTCTCTGATCAGGTGCCCATGTTGTGGTTGTCTCTTATTTTCATGTAAGCACCATGTACCTTTTTTGTGACTTTTCACCCTCTCTATGCAGGTTGAATCATCAAAAACATTGCTCATGCCTTTCAAATGTAAAGAATTGTGGGGGGAATTCTTGGCAGAGTCCGAGATCATTGTTTCTAAGGCATTTGCTGAACAGGTAAGATATTTCACCTGTTAATGGTCACAGATTTTGATTTTCTCTTCTTCTCTGTATACCATGATTTCAAAAAGAAGAAAAAAAAACAAATAGTATATTTAAACTGACATGAAATAGTTTTGTGTAGGATTGGGTGGTACTAATATGCATAATATGCTGATCTGATGCATTGCCAGTCCTGTACATATTTTGTTTAATTTGAATTACACGGGTCAATTTTTCCATTAATCAAACATGTTTTACGTTTCAGCAGGCCAACAAGCGTTTAAGATTATATCCTTGGTTGATTGCTGGTGGAATTTTCCTGGGATTCAGTGCCATTAAGAAATTTTTAAGGTACATAATATACTTCCCTTATACAGTAGAGGATAAATGATATGTTGTTAGTGTTCTACCATGTTAAACTCACTCCGTCATGGATGCAGCAATCCCTTGTGTCTTGGTGTCATCTTGTTCCTATATTCCTCCTTATTAGATGATATGTTGTTAGTTTTCCATATTACTGTCACCGAGGTGACAAGACGAAAATGTTTTCGCTTCGAATCAAAATGTTATAAGTTTCCATTCCTGCTACCAAGGTGGCTAGATGAATGGCGGATTGATATTAGGCACAAAAGTTCGTTCTCAGATTCCGCAAGGCGCAATAGACCTATTTTGTTCTCCTTTTAAAACACAAGTATTTTGTTGCAATTCTAAAGCAGGTCTAGTTACATGCTGAGTTCATACTCATTTTGTAGTAGTTTTGCTATGATTCCAGGTGAGGGTAGAGTGCGCCAACATAGACCAGCGCTGTCGGAGAAATAGTGTGGAGCCACCAACTTTCAGTAAATTTTGGCCTCAATGGAAGAGCAGCTTGTATGAATCGGGTTTACTTACACGGCACAGTTCAATTGACAATTTCAACCATAGCGATAATAATGGGGGTTTAGTCAATTTGAGTTTCAAAAGATTTTAATAATTTTTCTTTTAAGTGACAGATTTTAATAAACTTACAATTTTATATGGATTTTAACATATTTATATGGATTTTTATTATAAATTTCTATGGATTGGCACATTTGTATGGATTTTATTTGTAGATTTTGATGGATTTGCATAGGCTTTTATTTTCATTTATCTAGATAGTTTTTACTAGCAAAAACGCCCTGCGCTCCGCTGCGAGAAACACCACAAGTATAATCTTATACGATCTAATTGTTTTTGTCATGTATGAGCCAAATTGCTGAGAGCCATGTCATAGTTGAATAAGTTTCCCTTTAGAAGAGTTGACAATGGGAAGTCTAAGCCTAAATCTAAGTATCAAGGATGGATTCTGGTACATGGATGTGGGGGATCAGAAGGTTTAGGCAAAGCTGCCTGGGTGTTGTGACTAGCTTCCCACAGAACCCTACATTCGTTCAAATGATTTCGGTGACGTTGTACGAAGACTTCTCCTTCTTCTTTACCACTAACCCTAACCATTGGAGGGTCATATTGAGAGTTGTAATCAGCGGTTGTGGCTGAAAGAATGCTTGAAGAAGCAGACATAATTTCTGAATATTGAATAATTGAAGAAAGAAAGGATTGAAAGGATAAGGAATTTCAGACGAGAAATGGAAGAGAAGTTTTGAACAATTTCTTAAGCAAAAGACTTTGGAAATTTTTGAAGAAGTAAAGAAGACGAAGAAGAAGATCTGAAGAAATTCTGGAATCATCCGATATTGAATCAAGATCGTCTCAACAAGAGATCAACAAATCCGACGACTGGAATTTATTGGGAAAAAACGAACAGTCCCTCATTCTCCGTGAATACGTAACTAAGACATCATCATCATTGAGATATTGATGACACATTTATTGAGGTTGCACACATTTATTGAGGTTGATGCCACAGAAAATTTGAAATAGTACGTATTTTGATTTACTCCGAAAGACATGATCTTTAGATAACTATTCATACTTAAAGGGACACAAGTTCTTTTAGATACATAATTAGGAGCAATTGTTAGATCATAATTTTTTAGGACTAGAATAAGGCTAATCGGAATACAAATACTTCAGAAGCATGATCATGGACTCAATAGCTTTCACAACAGACTTGCACAAATGGAGTAGCAATGCCACCATCATACTATTTTGGAGCAATAGGCAAAGTCTGACGACTTAACTAAGATTGATCATGCTTATTCCGCAAAACACGAGAACCTAATCCAATAAGGAATCAACAAATTTCCTATGTTCTTAAAATTAAAATTCATTAAGTTTGGTATTTAATTGGAAAAATTTTGAAACATTGATCCTTCAAAATAAACTCCACGAGCTATGTTGTGCATGTGGACTCCACAAATTGGTTGATCAGGGCGCCACATGGCTTAGAAAATAAAAAAAAAATTCCAATTACAAAAAAAAAAAAAAAAATGACAAACAAACTTCTTTCCAACCTCTCTAATTTCCTCCGATCTGTGGGAACAAAATGTTAATTCGTTATTTATTGAAGAAAAGTAAATCTTCTTTATAAACTTCGGTAACTGGAGGTCATTTTCTCTGAACTCTTCTATTCCTCCGAATACCGACACGTGTAGTAATGGAGGAATGTGTTTGATGCAGACTTGGGGTGTATCTAAGTTAATTAAACAATCATCTCTTTCGAGAAGGGCTGATGTTTAAACTATGACTTTTTAGAGTAATGTTATTCATACCATGTTTTTGTACTATATTTTCATATCATCTTAAATAATATTTGATGTGGACAACCACATCATTTGAATTAATCAGATTTTTAAATTTAGTTCATTATTTAATAAAATAATAATTAAGAAAAGCTAGTTAATTAAATAATGATTGTGGTATACAAGAAGTATTTTTCCTTCGTTTCCTTGGATTTTGCACATTTTTCAAATGATATGGTTGTCCACATTAGATGTCACCTAAGGTGGTATGAAAATGTGGTATAAAAACATGGTACAAATAGTATTACTCGACTTTCTAATCTTTTCACGGTTGCATGATAAAAGGAAACAATAGTGTTGGAATATTGTTGAAGAAAATTGATGTTCCACCATAAAATTGCATGGTTTAGTCCCCAACCGATGTAGGATCTTGTTCTCACATTCTCACACACCACACGTGTAGCAAATTTTCAAATCCAACACGTGAACATTACAAACAAGATGAAGTGAAGCACGTGTCGCCATTGAGCTTGCACAAGTGGGCAAAGTTCACATTTTCAGCCAGGTTAAGACATCCAAAATTTGACTTTAAGGTAAGTCATCCATTTGGATAGCAGGATAGAGAACAGAACACCAGGGATGATGATTCTTTTGCAAATCATAACATAGAACTTCGAAAATAGAGTTGATGAGGATGATAGCAAAATACAAGTTCATGCAAGACCAAAACCAGGAAGCTTTGAAAGGCGATACCATACAGAGAATCAACAACTGAAAGAAGCAACAAACATAAATAACAGGTACTCGGTAAGAGTTTTGTCATTATTCTGAGTAAGTAGTTCTTCTGATCCCCTTAGTCATCAAATTGAGAAGAAAATTAACAAGCTTCATCTTAAAATTTGTTCACTACTCTACACTGCCTTCCTCAAACCCAAAAACCAGTTGCACTTGGAATTCTGGCAACGTCTACGCGACGACGCCAGTTCTTCATACATCCATAGAAAATACAAAACCCAATTCCACCAGAAAATAAAATTTAAGTTGATCATGGCAGGAACAAAAATTAAAAATGTGTCCCAGCGATTCTAAAACAAAACTAGCACAAAGGAGTGCCAATTTTGCCTAATATGCCACCCGAAAAGTACATTTTTCTTTACCAGATAGAAAGAAGAAGTAACTGAAATGCCTATTGTAATGTTCAAAGTAGGGCAAGATTTGACAATTTGTGGCAGCAGGACTTACACTCTTACAATCATGAAATGAAGCGGGTCTCCCTACAACTGTTTCACCCCGACCTCTTTTTGCTCAAATCCTAAACCCAGTTCCGAAAGTCCCATTTGCACTTTAAAGATGCTAGGCAATTCAGGTACTTGCTCTTGATATTTGACTACAAACCTGTCCAAGAAGTAGTCCTTTCCGGTACCCAGCAAGGTAGCCATAGAAAATTCCCCCTTCACTATCAAACCTTTCGACATGAGAATTCTGATAACTGAACACCTAGGTATAATGCAGTTCCTCAAACTAAAAACTAGAACAATTGGACTTCCAGCCACATCTGCAGGCTGCCACCTCACTTTGTTCACAAGGAAATCCATTTTACTTGAAAAATTCTTCTCTGCTAATTCCATAATCTGAGGATTCTTTCTAAATACCAACAAGAAATCATCTTCAGTCCAGCCCCACTTCCTATAAAGTTCCATCTTTTGTACCCTTTCTGATTCATTCACCCGAGCAAACATATACAACGCTCTCATAAATGTGGCAGAGGAAGGGGGGACACCCATACTTGTGACCTTCTTGACATTTTCCTTAAACTTGTCAGATTCAAGGGATACTAGAAAAGGACGATGTGACACCCAATACGAGATTGAGGTCTCTGGCACTTCAAGTGTCTTAGGTGAAGAGCATCAGCCAAAGCTTTCAAAACCAAGTTGAGTATGTCAATATGAGAAAGATAAAGGCTTAGAAAGATAGAGGTGGTCAAAAGTGTTTCCAACAAAGAAATTTGGGAAATACATTCAGTTATCCTTTGAATAGTTTTCTTACCTTCGTTTACTAAATAATGTCTGGCTGCAACCCCAATAGCTCCAGCATTCCGTCAACATATACAACTCACAATCTGATATATATACACACCAGAAGACAAAAACATGGAGAAGACCATACGTTTCAAAACAACAAAAGGAAAAAGAAATTTTTTTAGGGCAAATCTCTAATTCAAACTTACTAGGGCAACAGCTACATCTTCAACTGTATTTTTAACTGCCCTCAGACCATCACGAACAGCATTGCCACTTGACTAAGGCTGTATTCAAGTGTGGCAGAATGTATCTTAACACCGGGTAGGGCGGTTCTTTCTGATGTGTCTATGGCAGCATATTTCTATCTCATGAGCGACTCATGCATATACTTCTATGCATATGGAATTAACACAATCAAATCTGTGTGTGTAGCCGTTTAAAATCACATTTTACAGTAGAGCTTTCAATGGATAAGTAGTTCTTATGATCCTTTTAGTCATCAAATTAAGAAAAAGACTAACAGAGTTTCGTCTTCCAAATTGTTCACTACAATACACCTCATTCCTCGAATGCAAAGACCAGTTGCACTAGGAAGTCTGGCCACGTCTACATCACGCCAACCCACTGGCTTCCGGAAACTAAATTTTAAGTTGATCATAGCAGAAACAAAATTAAATAAAGTGTTATTATACATAAACTAATAATAGTGTCAGACTGGATACAGACCCATCAATTGTAAGAAGAATGTCTCTCAGAGAACAAGAACACTTCAATACATGATATTTGGTGAAGTCATCCATATGGATATGAAAAATATTTCTTCATATAGCCATTGATATAAAGAAATGCCTATTGTAATGTCAATGTAGAGAATGATTTCACATTTTGTGGCAGCAGGACTTACAGTTAGTCTTCAATCATCAAAGAAGAAACAACATCGCAGCTTCTTCCTACAATTGTTTCACACCATCCTCTTTTTGCTCAAATCCTAAGCCCAGTTCCGCAAGTCTCAATTTCCATTCAAAGATGATAAGTAATTCAGGTACTTGCTCTTGATATTTAATTACAAGCCTATCCAAGAAGTACTGCTTTGGTTTCCTGACAAGGGTGCCGAAAGAAAATTCTCCCCTTGATACCAAGCCTTTCGACAGGAGAGCTCTAATAACCAAGCACCTTGGTATGATATACTTTTCCAAACTATAATTTAGAGCAACTGAACTTCCAGCCACATCTGCAGGATGCCAACCCATTTTGTTCACATTGAAAAATTCTTCTCTGCTAATGCCATAATCTGAGGATTCTTTCTAAATGCCAACAAGAAATCATCTTCAGTCCAACCCCACTCCCTATAAAGTTCCATCTTTTGCACCCATACTGATTCATTCACCCAAGCGAACATATACAACGCTCTCATAAATGTGGCAGAGGAAGGGGGGACACCCATACTTGTGACCTTCTTGACATTTTCCTTAAACTTGTCAGGTTCAAGGGATACTAGAAAAGGACAAAGTGACACCCAATACGAGATTGAGGTCTCTGGCACTTCAAGCGCTCTCAGAACTGAAATGTTGGGAGCAATGTTGCTTCTCACTTTGGACAGCACTACCCACTGAAGCGTCCTGAAGAAGCGGACAAGGTTGTTGTCATTGAGGAGATGTAAACCTTTTATGATATCATAAAAGGGTATGGTACTTTTCTCTAAGCTTAATCTCAGCAATTCTGGGTTGCAAAAGAGGACCGGACCAAGGCCCTTTCCAGAAAGGCAAACAGAGGCTAAAAACTCAAGTTTGGGCAAAAGGTTCTTCTCAGCATCGTATAATAGCAGTCTTGGGCGTTTTTTGACTAGTCTGGAAATGTCGGCTTCGTTTAATCCATGGGCTTTGAGAAGGTTCAGAACTGAGTCGGGTCCTTCCGGGGAATCAAAATGTACCTTCTTAGACGCAGAGAGAGCAATTTCTGGAGACAACCCACATGAATTTATGAGGTATGATACTGCAAAGGAGCGACCTTTTTCTTGGAGTTTAACTTTTTCAGCAACTAATGATGACTTGGATGAATATGATCTGAGAAAAATAGCTTCGTTTTGGAAAAATTGCTAAAGGGTCACCGAATCACCGAAAATTCTACAGCTTGGAAGCGCTAATTGCAATCTCTTACAGCAAGAACTAAGCATAATTAACTATTGGTTAAGAAGGAACTCACCAAATGCACCCCGACAGAAATGCAGTTCTTGTTCCTGTAGTTAAAGAGAAGAAGGGACTCGCCAAATACCAGCGATGTTTTCTCTGCTCAGATTGGACAAGCCAGAGATCAAGTGTTGATGAATTGGCTTTCGTACCTCCACCAACTTGGGATTTAGGGTTTTGCTGCTCCGCTCACAATACAACTGACCGAAGGTATACATTTTAATTTGGCCGAAAAGTTTTTTTTAGCTTTTTGAGAAAACAAAGGAATTAATTTTAAGGAAACTAATAAAAAAAATATTTTAAAATTTTGAATTTTAACGATAAGGATAAAATAAAGGATAAAATGAATAGTACCATAATTGAATTTTTAGTGTAAAAATGTGATTTTTCGTTAAAATGAATAGTACCGGGAACTTTTCGTTACAACACTAAGTCAACTTTATATAAGTTGAATTTTATAACATAATATATAAGAATTCAATATTGTTTCTTCTGCTCGCGATCCGTATCTCAATTTTTTCTACCTCTATTATAGGTTAATTGTGCGAACTAATCTATGTTGTATACTATATATATAATATAATAGATAGTAGTATGTAACCATTTGAACTCAAAATAATATTGTTTATCGAAACTGAAGATACTTCTTGTCTGATTGGTTCACCGGTTTCAAGGTGTTGTTAATCGAAACTAAAGATGTGTTGACAGAGGGATAGATAATTAGTATTTTCTCACAGTATGAGAAGGGTGCGTGTAGACCTCATCCATGGAATAATTCAAATCTTATCAAAACCTAAGTCGATCTTTGGCAATTTCAATTCAATCAAGACTCAACCGAGCCACGCCTAGACCTGATCCTTTAAGAGCCCTACTTTAGCTAGGACTCGATCGAATTACACCCTCCTAGGCTAAGCTATCTAGCCTAAGCAATTGTCATTGGGTCGAGAATCACAGTCTTTCAACCCAAGTTATCTCTCTGTGGCACAAACATAGTATTTTAGGCCCAAACAATTTGTCTATAAGAGAAAGAGCGCCACTCCAGTTTGGTTTACAGAGGCGGCATGGTAATATGCAAGGTTTGCGTTTTCTAATTAACAACTTAGTACTACGGTTTAGTGGTATTCCTTTTCACTCATAAATAAGATGTCTTAGGTTTGATTCTCGCCAAAAACAAATTTGAACCACATTATTGCTAGCTCATTGTGAGGCTTAGTCTACGTTCTCACCCCCTTAATGTAGATAATACCGTTTCTTCCTCAAAAAATAAAAAATAAAAAATAAAAAGAAGCTAAGTAGAGGTTTATTTAAGCCAATTATGTCTCTGCCCGAGTAAATGTGGGACCAGTTGAAAGCACAAGAGTTTAATCAGCGTTTTGGACCTACCGCAAGGTTGTGCATTTTTTATGAGCGAATGTGGTGCAGCCACTTTGGTCTGCAGCCGACAGGGGACAAGTGAAATACAAGGCATTGCGACTTGCGAGTAGCTACTGGCGTTGGCGTTTTCATTTCCTTGTAAATGGGGCCTGGTATTTACCCTTGATTCTTCAGTTAATTCATAAATAAAGCTCCCTCGTACTGTCGAGGTTCACTAAAAAAAACTATTCCAAGCCTCAAGGATCGAGTAATTTGCAAGTTTGGTATCAAATTCGAAACATGAGTTAGCTAGCAATTCCAGTTCCATACCAAAATTGTAAGGAGAAACAAACACAAAGGAGTGAATGACTCATGGGTGAAAAATGAGAATCTCGAAACGTTTTGGCCACAAATTCCTCTTTCATAAGAAAAACATCCGGAGCGGATGAAAATTATGATTCCCTCTAACAATCCTCAACAACACAACTCACCTCGGTCAGTTACATTAAGGTAGTTTCACCCAATTCGCACTCAAGACACCAAAAGCAGCACTTCAGACGGCCAAAAACATCTGCTGACACTAAGTTGGCTTCTGCGTGTTATGCCCAGCACGGATTACTTCATCAACCAACAACAACTGAGATGAAATTACCGGCCTGCATAAAATAACGAACATCAATGAGTTATATAAACTGAAACATTCAGGAACTTTCAAACAAGTATACTGAAAGAGCAATTATCAATTTCACATCTTGCTCGTATCAAGGCCAGAATTCTCAGCAAGTGTCTTAGGAGAAGAGCGTCAGCAAAAGCTTTCAAAACCAAGTTGAGTATGTCAATATGAGAAAGATAAGTCTTAGAAAGAGGCGGTCAAAAGTGTTTCCAACAAAGAAATTTGGGAAATACATTCAGTTACCCCTTGAATAGTTTAACTTCGTTTACTAAATAATGTCTGGCTGCAACCCCAATAGCTCCAGCACTCCATCAACATATACAACTCACAATCTGATATATACACACACCAGAAGCCAAAAACTTATGCCATATACAACATGGAGAAGACCGCACATTTCAAAACAACAAAAGGAAGAATAAATTTTTTTAGGGTAAATCTCTAATTCAAACTTACTAAGGCAACATCTACATCTTCAACTGTATTTTTAACTGCCCTCAGACCATCACGAACAGCATTGGCACTTGAATGAGGCTGTATTCAAGTGTAGCAGAATGTATCTTAACACCAGGTAGGATGGTTTTTTCTGATGTGTCTATAACAGCATATTTCTATCTCATGAGCGACTCATGCATATACTTCTGTGCATATGGAATTAACACAATCAAATCTGTGTATAGCCATTTAAAATCACATTTTACAGTAGAGCTTTCAGTGGATAAGTAGTTCTAATGATCCTTTTAGTCATCAAATTAAGAAAAAGACTAACAGAGTTTCGTCTTCCAATTTGTTCACTACAATACACCTCATTCCTCGAATGCAAAGACCAGTTGCACTAGGAAGTCTGGCCACGTCTACATCACGCCAGCCCACTGGCTTCCGGAAACTAAATTTTAAGTTGATCATAGCAGAAACAAAATTAAAAAATTTGTTATTATACATAAACTAATAATAGTGTCAGAATGGATACAGACCCATCAATTGTATGAAGAATGTCCCTCAGAGAACAAGAACACTTCAATACATGATATTTGGTGAAGTCATCCATATGGACATGAAACATATTTCTTCATATAGCCATTGATATAAAGAAATGCCTATTGTAATGTCAAAGTAGAGAATGATTTCACATTTTGTGGCAGCAGGACTTACAGTTAGTCTTCAATCATCAAAGAAGAAACCACATCGCAGCGTCTTCCTACAATTGTTTCACACCGTCCCCTTTTTGCTCAAATCCTAAGCCCTGTTCCGCAAGTCTCAATTTCCCTTCAACGATGCTACGTAATTCAGGTACTTGCTCTTGATATTTGATTACAAGCCTATCCAAGAAGTACTGCTTTGGTTTCCTGACAAGGGTGCCTAAAGAAAATTCTCCCTTCGATATCAAGCCTTTCAACAGGAGAACTCTAATAACTAAGCACCTTGGTATGATATACTTTTCCAAACTATAATTTAGAGCAAGTGAACTTCCAGCCACATCTGCAGGATGCCAACCCATTTTGTTCACAAGAAAATCCATTTTACTCGAAAAATTCTTCACTGTTAATTCCATAAACTGAGGATTCTTTCTAAATGCCAACAAGAAATCATCTTCAGTCCAACCCCAATTCTTATAAAGCTCCATCTTTTGAGCCCATTCTGGTTCATGCACTCGAATAATCACATACAGCACTTTCATAAATGAGGCATACGAAGGGGGGACACCCATACTCGTGGCCTTCTTGACATTTTCCTTAAACTTGTCAGATTCAAGGGATAATAGAAAAGGACGATGCGACATCCAATGAGAGATTGAGGCTTCTGGCACTCCAAGTGCTCTCAGAACTGAAATGTTGGGAGCAATGTTTCTCATTTTGGCCAGCCGTACCCACTGAATGTTTGCAAACATACGAGAAAGCTTGTTGTCATCGAGAACAAGTAAACTTTTTATGATATGATAACAAGGCATGAGACTTCCCTCTATGCTTCGTTCTAAAACAACCGGGCTCATACAAACCATGTGAGCAAGGCCGGTACCTGAAATGCCAATAGAAGCGAAAAACTCAAGCTTTGGGACAAGGTTCTTCTCAGCATTGGCTAAGAGCAACTTTGGACGTTTCTTAACAAGTTCTGAGATGTGGGTTTTACTGAATCCATGGCGTTTGAGAAGATTAAGAACCGAATCTGGTCTTTCTCGGGTATCAAATTGTACCTTCTTGGACACAGAAACAGCGAGTTTTTGGGACAACCCACATGAGTTCATAAGGTAAGACTCTGTAAAAGAGCCACGTTTTTCTCCTAGTATATCTTTTTCAGAAACTAATGATGATTTCGATGAATATGACCTGAGAAAAATAGCTTCTTTTGGGAAAACTTTCAAATGGGTCGCTGAATCACCAACAATTCCGAGCATTAATTGCAATCTTTTACAACAAGAATTGAGCATAATTGGATGAATGCAATACAATCAGGCACAAATGCACTACTTGTAGTGAACGAGCAGGAACTCACCAAATAGACATTGGTTTCTCTTCTTGGTTTCGAGCCGCCAGCAATTTCATTAACTGCTTTACTTCCTACGCCAATTCCGGATTTAGGTTTTTGCTCCGCCGCTCCTCAAAGCCAGAACTGGCTGAAGGAAACATGTGCTCTCATTTTCAATTTTATTTTGTTTTGGACGCTATTATGAAACCGACAACTATTTATAGGGTAATGCTTTTTTTTAATGAAGGGAAACAAAAGTTGAATTTATTTGACGAAAATCGATCTTAAAACTCTCACATATAAATGAAAGACAAATATAACTAGACTGTAATATTAAATGATTAATATCTATACATTAAAATTTAAAAATTTACGTGTAAATTAAGTGTAACTTTCTATTTTTAATTTGTTATTATTAACAGAAGGAGATGATTCAAAATTATTAAACTAAGTTAGGAAATAAAAGAGTTTTGAATCTGAGATGTATGAGTAGAAACTCAGCATTCTATTATTAAGGTTCGAACACATGCATAAAGTTGATATTTGAGTATACAACAGGTAATGATATGTTTGAGTTCTCTTATGACCTAAAAAGAGTTTGAGGTTTTTTTTTTTTTCACTCCTATGACTTGCTCGATTTAGTTTTTAGTACAAACCTTACATTAGAGAAATGAAACAAATTTATTAATCTGAGAGGCTATTCCAAATTTGGATTAGCAAACTTAGTTTGAATATCTAAAAATTATTAATTTGAGAGGCTATTCCAAAATGCCCTAATGAATTTGTAATTGGATCTCTTTTAATTGATTCTTTTATCCCATTGTAATATTTTAGATCGTTGAATGGACTCATTTGAAAACATTTGTCTGATGACAAAATTATCAAAGATTGGGATTCTTTACTTCTATTCAACAACTTACGAAAAGTTCCTTGATTTTGTTATGGCTAAATGGTTGTTGAAACCTTGCCAGCCGATTGGAGAAGGAAATACATGATATCTCATATATTTTTGCGAGAGATGCCCTAGGAATGACACGATCATTGCGTCTCTAACCAAGTTTTTCTGCAACCTTCACTTCACTGGGGAATGAAGAGGGAAACCATGGTATGTTACATTGTTGAATCAAGGTATGGAACCATACCGCGTGAGGGACGCCTCACAAACTGAGACTTGAGGGATGAAGTAGAAGAAATTCTGGAACCATTGCATTCAGACTTCAATTAAAAGAAATGTGATAAAAACCAAGTTGCTCTTGGAATTCCAGCCACGTCTACCGGACGCCAGCCCATCGTCGTTCGCCGGAAAACACAATTCAAGTTTGGTAGAAACAAACTAATCAGTGTCAGTTAGGATATAGACCCAGCAATTATAACTTATAAGAAGAAACTAGCATAAGGAGTGCCAATTGTGCAGTGCGGATATAGAACCAACGTCGGAACAAGTAAAATAAATGCCTACTGCCTATTGGAAGAAACTAGCATAAGGATTTCCATTCTATTCATCACTGTTTGTTTTGTTATTGTGTAATTGGGTTACTCTTAATCTAGACGACAAATTTGGTTTTGCAATGATCTGTGGATTCTTGGCATTTTTTTTTATATTGATTCAATCATGCTTGTTAGTACACATGCAAAATTTCGATTTGGTTTCTTTGGTTTTTGGTACGGCATCCCGAACTGAACCAGCCTAGTCAAAACTATTTCATAAAAATTTACCAAACACCACTTTTTTTTGCTGTAAAGCATTTTTACAACTATAGTTTACCAAGCACTTCTTTATTTTCACACAACATAAGCAGTTTCTTTTCAAAGCACGTCAATACCAAACTAAACCCTAAATATTGACCCACATAGCTCCGAAAAAAGTATGTAACAAGAACGAATCAACCTCAACTCATAGGTCTCAACACTCGGTTCTTTTAAATATTTATAACCCGAACAAGGAGGATTACAATATCATAATAGGCATCAACAAATCAAAACATTGGTGTACTTACAGTTTTACAGTGTCTATCTGCATTGAGTCGCATTGTAATGTTCGATGAAAAGCACAAACATGCATGATAACATCAAATTAACAAAGGTATCTAGAAGGTGAAACCAGGGCGACCCAACTCGAACTGTATTGACAAAAGGGCTTTTTACCTGGGTAGGGTTTCCGGGGCATCCAACTTCCACTTCTGTATCGCGTCTTTATTGCAAACTGCTTTAGAGAGACAGCCCCCAAACTGTTGCAGCTTTCCTCAAACATAATACACTTTTAAAACAAATTCCACCCCAAGCGCATGACAAATGTATACGGTTTTTCAAATTTACAGTGGACCAGAAATTGAGAGAGGCTGCTGCTAATACTGTACTCTCTCATCATTATTAAAATGCAGGCTCTCAATACCCTTGAGAGTGGATTCTAAGTTCTTTGCGTTTGAAATGTTTCTTCCTGAAGATGTACGGTTGTTCTCTGAAGGCACAATCGGTGAACTTCTTTGGCCACTAGAAATTTTACCTAGTGTTCCGGGGCTTAATTCTGTGGTTTGAGGGCGAGAGGGATCAGCTTCACTGCCAACAAGCACAGCATCCCGACTGCTAGACACTGCAGCCCTCCTCGACGATCCACTTGACCGCATGAAATTAGAACTTGATAACTGCATGACCCAAGTAAAATGAAGGGAATAAATTAATCCAACAATGTACAAACCCAAATAACAATGAATAAAACGATATCTGTAGAACTGAGAGAATCTTGTCAAACTAGATAATCGAAATTAACCAAACGGGATGAAAGTTTAATGAATCAAGATTTAAACAGAAACGCATTACCATTGCATCTTTAGAAAGAGATCGATCATTTGCAGCAGGACTTTTTTGTCTAGAGATGTTTCCAGAATTTAGAATCGGTCCAGAGTTTCTCCTACGAGAAGGATCTAACAATGACCAACCGGTTGGTCTACCTTCCTCACCACCTGCAAAAAGTTAAGAACAAAAGGTGAACAAACAAATACTAGAATAAAATATAACAAGAAACACTTCAAGGAGATCGGGAGAACACTTATAACAGCCATATAACATAACCCAAATGATGCAGCAAAACAAGTATGTCACTGCACTTTCAAGGTACTAAACTAGGTAAACAGGGAGACATGAAACAGAGTTTTGGCATCCAGATGAATTGCTGCTATGCAGAAAATGAAACGAATGGCATAATTACCAGATTGTCTTTCGGCATTTGCCACAGTCGGAGGCAAGCCAGAGCTCTGACCAGCATTAGGACCCTATTCAATATAAAGTAATGTCAGATAAATGCATGCACTAAAATGCACTGAAAATGTACCGTTACAGCACTTACATGAGACTGAGTAGGAGGTGTGGCAATCTGTGACTGCTGATATTTCAAGATAGTCCAATCAAAGACGTAATCAAACTGAAAACCTGAAGAAAGAAGACAACCATGTCAGTAGGCATGGTTAACAACCTAACATCAATAGAGTTGCTGCAACCTATCAAATAACAATTTCAAACCTTCTCGAATAAAAAGATCACGAAAGAGTCTCTTCAGATAAGCATAATCTGGTTTATCATCAAACCTCAGAGACCTACAGTAATGGAAGTATGACGCAAACTCTGTGGGATACCCACGGCATAATGCCTACGAAAGAATTAAGAGCAAAACCAGTGAATATTCCCTAATGAATAAAATTCTATACCATCTTATGTCTTTATAAAAAAAAAAAATATACTAACAAAGAATTGTAATCATTATATTTCAGCTTACCTCGATAGAAGTTGACACTTTTTTTTCACTGATCTTCTCATACTTTTGCTTTTTCGTTCCTGCTTTCAGTCCCTGCCAAGGAAGACTTAAGAAGGAGAACAAATGGTCATAAAACAATAGAACATGCAAATACACACACACACACACATATGACAATGGCAGGCACAATAATTACCTTCCTCGTAGAAAGTACATGAGCACATATCCAAGTGATTCTAAATCATCCCTGCGGCTTTGTTCTATGCAGCATAAAATTAACATGATCAGACTAACATAGCAGAAGAAGGGAAAAAGTTACGGGAGAGAGAGAGAGAGCTTACCAATGCCAAGGTGGGTATTCATGCTTGCATATCTTGCAGTACCAGTCAAATTCTTATTTTCTCTGTAGTTAAACAATTACCAAATCAATTTTAGTTTACCACTTCATATATGTTATCTATTACAAGCATACTTTATTTTTCACAGAAACACCTAACATAAAAAGGCTAAGAAAGATATGAATTGTCATAACAGTATTGAACTGGGGCAGTTCTCAAAATGAAAAGACGAATTGATCACAATATACAGAATAAATTGCATGCAAGCAATATCCTGTGATTTTCTTCCCAAATCATTTATTTGTGGTCTAGATACTGACCAACTCCATCCCTCCTTCCCTTTGGATTGTTAAAACAGACACCAGAAACCAAAAGAAAGTAATATTATAAGTCCCCTAAAATATAATTAGTCAAAGACTACCATTATTTAAAATGCTTAACTAAACTTCGGTACTCTAGACCAGAGTAACTAGACGAAATTAAATGACATTTAAACAGAGTCCCTACACCTAGTTTATTCTATCTAATGGTGCTATCCATACATCCCTTATCAGTATATGGACAGCTATCTCTCGAAGCACAAGTTTAGGTTCGGCCTCAATGGGAAAATAAAACGGAGCACCTAACAATGTATCTTCAGACCAAGAACTCTTCAAAATGATAATCCACTGATGTTACAGCGGACATCTATTGCAACAAGAGTTAAAAACAGACACAACAAAGAGCAACCACTTAGAGAATAGGGTAGAAATCTTGATACACATTTTACTTTTAAAAATAGGAACAAGAAGAACAGAACTAACAGCATTTCATATTTGAGGTCAGCTATGTAACTAAGTAATATAAACAAAGAATCAATTATTAAATAATCCAAACAAACCAACCTATAAGGAATATGCTGATGAGTCGAAGTGTCTCTATACTTCTTAGCGAGACCAAAGTCAATGACGTAAATCTACATGAAAGAAGAGATTTTTAATGCATTTATATATATAAAAAAAAACACATAATCAAAACCAAAGTTTCAGAGTGAGTCACAGAATAAGGAAAAAAAACAAATTTAAACAGAAAGTTCCAAAAACCTGATTTGCTCGTCGAC